CTGGGTTAACGGTTGGACTCGATGGTCTTAAGGGTCTGTTCTGGCCTAAACGATTCTGTGACTTATAACAAGTGAATAAAAGAGGTCTGAAAGACAGTTACCTTCTCTTTCTTAGACAGAAAAAACAAGACATCTTCATAAATTTCAAGACGATCACGCTCAGATATCGCATTCCAGACTTCCATCTCCCCAAACATTTGTTCAGCTTTTCTGTACGACACAAACAAAAAGCATTCAGTCATTTATTGGCAAACACTGACTCAAATGCTTACAATAACATTAATGAACTCTTCACAAGTAGTAATGCTTTTGTATGACTTCTCCCTAATTTTCCCTCTTGGGAACCTTTCTCTGTGACAGCTTTCCACCTCTTATAAACAAAGGAAACGGTTAAAAGTGACAGCTGATGCCACTATGCACTCCTCTCTGTAGAGGTGCGAGTTCACCTGCAGTGCATTACATGAGCATTTTCATCTGCGGGCTCGCGCGTGCTCAGGTCACTGTTGTAGCAAACATTACACAAAATCAGACCTACGAAATTTTCAGCGAGAAGCTTATGAGATACACCTGCCTTTGGGCACGGACTTCCACAAACAAGCTACCAGAACCACTTTGTTCTCCATGGCAGATGTAAACCTCCTCTCTGTTACCTTTCATTTCAACTTAGTAGAAGCTCAACCCGTTACCATGAGCACATCACTCATTTGAGCTGGTTTTCGCCTGGGTCTTAAATCCATTCGATGAGAATGACGCTACTGGTGCTCCTACAAAAGTCTCAGTTACGGGGTTTTCCAGGCTGAGCGCACACAGAGGTCAGCACTCACCAGGAGTGAGCCAGCAAGATTTGATTATTAACTTGGCAAGCTAGTAAAGGCTGGAACTGCATTTAATATTGGTCTTACTTGTATCTCGTTGTGGATGTCATCTTTTCATGGTTTTCAAGAAAACGCTGGAAGGATTCTTTAGCTTCCTTGTATTTTGATCTCGCTTCTTCCTTCTCTTCTTTTTCTGTTTGAACTTTGTAAGCGTTAAAGGCCTGCTTTTTTTCACTTAGTTTTGCCAGAGCACTTTGTGTCAAAGAGAAAGAAAACAACGATGTCAATTATACGGAAGGGAATTAAATTAGAAAACAAAACCAAAGGACCAAAAGGTAACAGATTGGAATAATCCAGGGTTTTGAGATAAAATCAAATACAATCTAAATGGCCAGTCATCACCCTGTTTCTCCCTCAGGATTAATGAAGATCATTTAAAAACAAGCACTTACTAATAAAAGCAGTTAATAATAAACCACAAGCTGCTATCACGCTTTCAGGTTGCACTTACACATTTCACATTAAATACTATTTTTATCACAGATATTAACCACTTCTCTGCCAACGTTTACAGCAGCCACTCGTTTCAAAAAGTAACCTAGAAAGTCTTCAGTTCTGTTATTGTAAATGGGTGGGTTTATTCCCAAGAAAACAGTATAAATAGCATCAAATACAATCAACAACTGCCACGTCTTTTCCAAACGAGAAATTACGCCTAGGATTTGCATTTCTTTACGTAGGAAAGGAACCGAGTGCCCTGACAACGGTACGTGTTCACAAATGCAAAAATACCTATTAAAACAACCAAAAGTTGTTGGTAAAGTCAAACTACCCAAAATAGTATTTGCGTAGAAGTTTAAGGAGGAAAGAACCAAGCAGTACCTGTATCTAGGATCATTAATGATCATTTTCATAGCTTGCTCCCACGAAGCATTGGATGGTACTCGCTGCGAAGACACAAAATCATTGATTAATTAGATTTGGAACCAACAATGACAGATTCCTTAACAAATAGCCCTTAGGAAAAAAAAGGGAAAGCACTGCATTTTCGAGGTTAAGAAAACATTCTTTGTCATCTTTTTTTTTTTTTTTTAATTTCAGTAGCAGTCAACATGGAAAATGAAACAAGGTACTTTGGGGATTATTGCCATTTCTGCGATAAATTGTGCTGGAAGTTTGTCTGCTACAGAACTACGTTAACTCACTACACAAAGCACAAACAGATCCCATATACCCTGAGGGAAAACCAAAGCCAGTCTCGTTTTACTCCCGCTTCGTCCCCATCATTAAAACCAAGATAAGAAACTGAGGGCTCGGATGACCAGGCACCGCTTATTAGAAGCGTACCTCACTGGCAGACAAAGATATTGGCAACCACCATTTCCACCACACTTACACACAGTTTTAGAGTCACTACTTCCTAGGGCAAGAAAGAAAAAAGGGGTCTTTAAGCCAGACTAGCGTACGAAACACCGCGTACTGGATCTGTTTGTCCTTTTTCCACATGGACCTCTGCACCGTCTGTCTCCAGAGCACTGAGTGAAGCTGCCCATCAAACCACTCACTGTTCCAGGTTGAATTCGGGACAAAGACCAGATTACCAGTTTGCATTAGTGTGGGGATCATGTAAAAAGGAAGAAAATAAAGAAAAATCTGAACGGGGAGCCCTAATGAAAACTCAACACCTCCCCCCTCACCCAAAGAGCTGAAAGAAAGAAGTTTGAAGTGTGTCTTTTCTCCACTGTGGCGCTCTTTCCCCTCATTTCTTGTCTAGTACAAAAGTCCTCATCCACAACAGTGAGAAATTCTTCACCAAAAAAAAAAAAGTCTAGCAATTTCTGGCAAACACCATTTTTGTCGTTGAATAAAGCATTAAGAACAGTCGACTGAAATACCTTTTCTTTTAAGAGCTCTTTAAATGCTTGCTTTGCTTCTTCCTTTGTATTCCATGTATAGGTTTTTTTAACTGGTTGGGCATCATCATCCTCCTTCTTTGAAGCAGCACTATATAAAGAAATAATAATTTTATTATTTAGGCCTTTTTTTCCTAAGTTAGAGCCACTCAAGAGTCATAAACCACATAAACCACCCTAATCAGATAGAATGAGCTTTTTAAAAAACAGCTCAAAGAAAACCAATAATGCTGCACCTGCTGGACACCGCGGTTTGTACAAGACTTTTCCTTACAGACACTGTACACAACCAACCAAAAAAAGCAAACTATTTCAGAAAAGTATTATCACTTATGCAATTGGCTACCTGCTCAAGTTATCTCAAAATGATCCATAAAAATATAATGCTGAATCTTACCAGGAATATTTAGATATGTATTATATAAAAACATAAAGGGGAGTGCTTAAAAATACGCCTCTTGCCCTTAACCATCTCCTCCTGGCTATAATTCCCCACAGCACGTTTCTTTTATGTTTGAATGATAAAAATCATAAGCTGCAACTCTCCACATAATCAATTCTCCGTTATTAAAAACCCAAGGATCTCCTTTCTTGTGGAAGAGATAAAAATTGAGAGTTTTGTCCATTCTGCAAGGCTCAAGTTCTACCGAAAGACCAAGATCTATCTCGCATTGCATTTTGTTCCAAGGCCAGCCCATCACACAGACCTGCGGAAGGGGAAACAGGCAGGGTGGGCACGTAAGGTCACCCCAGGAAACTCTGACAGCTACTGAGAATCTACAAAATGTTCACGCCACTCGTGTCCTCTGGAGGGTTTGAGGGCTTTGCGAGAGGGTTGGCAAGGGGAGGCAGTTAACTTCCTCAAAAATAGATTTAATATTTTTTCCTCTCCTTCTCACTATCTCTGCTGTCAAGGATTCACGCTCACGTTTCACCGAGGAAGCAGCCGACTGCCCAAGAAGCCTGGCCCCCTCCAGCTGCGGACAAACCAGA